TCCCTGCAAACGGTCAATGAATAAACCCTAAAACCTACAACCCCTAAACCTTGAAATGCCTATAAGCCCTATAAACCCTAAAACCTACAACCCCATAAACCCTGAAATGCCTACAAGCCCCATAAACCCTAAAACCTACAACCCCTAACACCCTGAAATGCCTATACGCCCTAGAAACCCTAAAACCTACAACCCCGAAACCCTGAAATGCCTATACGCCCTAAACCCTAAACCCTAAACCCAAAACCCTAAACCCTCAAGGCAGGAAAAATAGAAATTCTATATTAGGCCAAAGATCCGGGAGAGCTGAGGCCGCCAGGGCGGCTCTCAAAGATTTCACCAGAAATCCGAGCTTCAAAGATCCGAGGACAGGTAGAAGCATGGCGGATCCACAGAGGGTTTAGGGGTTTAGGGGTTTGGGGTTTGGGGTTTAGGGCTTAGGGCTTATAGGGTTGAGGGTTTAGGGGTTTAGAGTTTGCGATTTAGGGTTTCGGGATTGGAGGATTTAAGGTTCAAGTTTAGGGTTTAGGGTTTAGGGTTTAGAACTTGGGGAACAAAAGTTTAGGGATCATGGTTTTGGGGTTGTAGCGTTTCGGGCCTTCGGGGTGTTTAGGGCTTGGGGGATTTAGGGCTGGGGGCTGGTAGGGTTAGGGTTTAGGGTTTAGGGTTTAGGGTTTAGGGTTTAGGGTTTAGGGTTTAGGGTTTAGGGTTTAGGGTTTAGGGTTTAGGGTTTAGGGTTTAAGGCTTGGCATCTAGGGCTCAGGGCTTGTAGGATTTCGGGTTTAGAGTTTATAAGGCTTATAGGGTTTAGGGGTTAGGGCTTAGGGCTTGCAGGGTTTAGGGCTTAGGCGGTTTCGGGTTTAGGGCTTCGCAGATGGACCTAAGTACCTTTGTGGGGGAAACTTTCCCATATCATAGTTGTGATTCCTACTATATATATATATATATACATATATGTATATATATATATACAAAAACCGCCCTCACAATGTGTATGTCTATGTAAGCACTTAGGACCCATTGGGGATGTAATCCAAGTGCCTTAACCATCCCCTTTGAAAGTATCGCTTTACACCGGTTTGGGGGTGGAAGCACTGAGCCCTAAACCGAAAATGCAAAACCCAGACCCTATGACCATAAACCCAAAACCCTACAGGTCTGTACGATTCTTCACACCCTTCTCATGGACCAGACTTCCACGATTGGACCCCAAGGCATAGCCGCAGGTCCTAAACCCAAACCCTCTCATGTAGGGGCGTTGATACTTAGCAAAGGGTCTAATGGGTTCCGTTTTAGGCTGATTTCAAGCGTCTAGGAGGGCTGCTATAATTATCTTTTGTATATATGGGCGCTCAATTCGAAGGTAGAATAGGGACACATGGTATATTCTAGCACAGAAAGCATGAGTTCAGGTTCCTACACCTAAACCCTCAACCCTAAACCGTGGACACCCTGAATTCAAGGCGTGCTGACAAGCCTGGGGCCTCGGTGGTTTTGGAGATAAATGTGGCACGCAGTCGCTGGCAAATCAATGCATAAGTCCATCGGATTTGGTGTTTTTAGTTTTGGGATTGCGGTTATGAAGCCTGTAGGGGTTTTAGGGATTAGGGTTATGAAGCCTTTAGGGTTTAGGGATTAGGGTTATGAAGCCTTTAGGGTTTAGGGATTAGGGTGATGAAGCCTCATCCCCGAAAGGTGCAAAGGATCCAATAACTCGGTACTCAAGCTTCGGATAGTAGTTCTGTAGCTCACTCTTCAGGAGAGAATATGACTTGCTAAGTCAAGCACTTGCAGCGGTAGGATTAGGGAATCACATGCTACATGTAGTTATTGTACCGCCAACCTTACAACAGTAACAATCATCTAGAGTCCTGTATGTTGTTATGCTGCAGAAAACACGGCAAAAGAGAAAGTCAATAACTCATGCTGCAGCTGCGGCAGCTAAACGGCGGTTTAGGGTTTCGGGTTTTGCGATTTTTACGGAGACCCCGATGAAAAATGCAGATGCTTCTGAATTCGGCTTGGGGCTTGGGGTTTAGACTCTAAACCCTAAGCCCTAAACAGGATGAACCTTGAAGATTTGGATTTGGGGTCAGCAGTGGCCTTCCGGATTCGTGTTCAGGATGTCAAACAAACTACAAGTTGCTAGAAATTGGGACACCCTAAACCCTAATCCCTAAACCCTAAACCCTAAACCCTAAACCCTAAACCCTAAACCCTAAATTGGGACCTATATAAAAAGATATGGGTTCCTCTTTATGCTAGCATAGACCGACTTCCTCCACAAGAGCCCAGCCCGTGTAGGCATTCTGCCCTACTAACTTCTGTGGGACGAGGAATTTGTGCAATAACCTGCAGGTCTCGTTCCTCTTCAAAAGTACTTGGGGTTTAAGGTGTAGGGCTCAAGTACGGGTTCCTGCAGGGGTACTTCCAGGCTAATGTATACACAGTCACCAGATTAGGGTTTCTGGTCTGTAGCAGGGGGCCATTCGAGGTTGGTCTACCAGAGTCCAGCGACTGGCGGCACCCATCGCAGAGTTTAGGGTTTCTAGCGCAGTAAGCTGCCCTTGATATATAGATGTCTCATGACCACACAAAACTGAAACCCCAAACCCAGCCCCAAAAACCCTGGAGCCCCAAACCTTCAGCAAGCTCTGATCAATTCGGAAGCTTTGGCCTCTTCACTGCCGTTTCATATTTTGGCTTAACCGGTTTTCTACCCTAAACCCTAAAGCCTAAATCTATAAGCTAACCCAAAACACGAACTACCATGGAGACTGTAGGAAACCCTAAACAGAAACCCTGGTCCTGCGCGACCCAGCTGCTATGCGCCTCGAACACAATGGTCAGACCTGGTAACTCTGGCGTGTTGGTGTTTAAATTGGGGTTTAAGGTTGGAGGCTTAGGGCCTAGGTCTAACCCTGAGGGTCCATGTACCCAAATAGTGTATACATTGGCCCCAAAGTACTTCTATAGGGACTACTTTAAGGCCAAAGTATATTTATTTGGGTACATTGACCCTTAGGGTAATTAAGGCCTAGAGTTTAGGGTTTAGGGTTTGGGCTGGGTTGAGGGTTTAGGGCTAATTAAGGCTTAGGGTTGGGGGTACCATACTCAAGGGGTCCAAGGTGATGAGGGGGATACTTTCCCAGCTCTACGGTAGAAACCCTACAATCTACTATGTAGGTACTTACGACCCTTGGGGTTAATAGCACCAAAACTTCTAGTATCACTATAAATGAAGAACCCTTAAGAAAAACCTAAGTTCGCTTAAACAAGTTCCTATATCAGGGTAGCGGGCTTTCCGCTTTAGGGTTTATGGCAAGAAGATTTATACGGGCTGGTCGGACACCTTAGGGGCTTATGGGTCTAAGGTTTAGGCGCTTGCAGGGGATTCGGGCTTATGGGGCTGTAGGGTTTTATGGGCTACCTATAGTCTCCATCGTAGTTCCCTTTTTTGGTTAACCAGCTATATATTATTTAGGATCCTATAAGGTAGCCCCAAAAAGGAACGACAATGGAGGCTATAGGTATGGGCTCTGGACTTGCGTTTTTAAGGTGTTTATAAGGAGGACTTTCAACGCAAGCTGTGCATTCTGGACACGTCTCACATCATCCCTATCAAACCTCTCGGGGTTAAGGGAGGGTTAAGGCTTCGGCTTGCCGGTTCATTCCAAATACCAAAAGTCTAGAATTCCCTGAACATGGGCAGGTGCTGCCTGGTTCGCATCAACTAGACAGCCTGGGACCGCTTTTCTTCACCGCATCCATCAGGTGACCTAAGGTCTCGATGAACTCGTGCCAGCCAGTGACCGGCGAGGGAACTCGCATTCACGACATGCTGCATGTTCAGAGTTTGGGAGATCTGCGGGAGGGAAAGCCGCAAAGGATACATACTAAACGGTGGGCGCACGACTGTCATAAACGAAGACGTGAGCAATCCAGCAGCTACTGTAGATGCAGCCTGTCATATCGATGCCTCTTTGGCCACTTCTGCTTCCCTGCATGTAGAGAGACCTTGCAAACATGCGAGGTCTGCTACGCCGCTACGCCTTGTTTCAGCGCAGCAAAAAAGAAATTCGATGCGATGGGCTCGTCGGATGCGAACCATCTTACGCAGCCACGCTTATGTTAGAAACACAAAGCACCAAGTGCTTCGCTGCAAGCGACGCAGAACAAATTACAAAAGCTCAATACCGCAATTGCAAAGACTGGCACAGGAGAGACTCGACACCATGCTGCTTTGTAGCATTTATGGTTCAGTTCCAAGACTACCTATAGTCTCCATTGTAGTTCCTTTTTGGGGGGATACCTTATAAAATGTTTAATATATATATATATATATACATATATACTGGTTAAACCAAAAAAAGGTACAATGGAGACTATAGGTATATGCATAGGAGAACCGGAGTCATATACGGACCTTACTAATAGAACCAGGGTTTTGGGTACATCCTACTGTAGTTCTACCCTAAGCCCTAAACCCTAAACCCTAAACCCTAAACCCTAAACCCTTCTAACCAGGAGCCGTCTTCAATCGCTCAAGCCTCTGAGCGGCCTCTACATTGCAATATTAAACACCTGAAAAACCTGCTAAACCACTTACTTAGTTGCTGAGTTCATAAGCCCCAAAAAGTGTACACTTTCAGTTCTATAAGGGATCATATTATCCCAAAAAGTGTAAAGTGTACTCACTCAGCTACTAAGCTTACGAGCTCTTTGTTGCAACCTACAGAAGCATGCCTGTAAGAAAGCAAACCCGATGTGCCCTGAGTTAACACACACAGGAAACCTACCGAAGGCACACAGCGACCGTAGTCGTGTCGTCGTCGTGGTCGTCGTCGTCGTAGTCGTCGT